TTTCTACTTCTGCTAAGATCACTTTGTAAAAGGCTTGCAGTGGTAGAGGGCTGAGCTAGGAGGTTACAAAGGGTTGAAAAAAGCTTAGGTATAGGTTCTGCTTTTGTCAAGGCTGAACAGATCAAGGGTCATCTGGTTTGTTTTTCATATCTCTGTATTTGTGTTTGTCTTTGCTTGTCTTTCATTATTCAAAATCAAAATAAACAAGGGTCTCCCGGACCATATTCTGGTACATGGAAGTAAACCATTGCACTTGGGCGAACCACGTTAAAAACGTCATGTCTTGTTTATGTCTCTGCACTTTCTTCCATTTGCTGTGTTCTTCCTCTGTGTTTTTCGTGGATACTCTGGCTATGGAAACTCTATTTCTGAACCATTAATTAAAGCGCAGTATCTGATTTCGTCTTCATAAGAGATTATTAAAAACTGGGCCTTGAGCCTACTTGTAAATCGCTACTGCTTCTCCCTTTTTAGCCTGGTTAAAACCGGCTTTTTCGTTGGGCTTATTTATTCTTTTAGCCCATTTGGTCCGAAACTGAAAATAGCAGAGAAGTTTTCATTCCACTGTCTTCTTCCTTCCATCCTATCGAACCAAAAATCCTAATTCCCAATTCAGCAGAACCCTCTGTACAATTTCTCCTCCTCTTCTTCTTTCATTGCCCGCTGCCTCCTCCAATCGCATCAACGAAGACCGCGTTTCCCCTCAAATCACAAAAACCTTCTCTCTTCTACTGCCTTGCTAGTAGGGCTGGGAAAATAGACCAGACCGTTAGAAAAACCATGATCCAAACCGTACCGCACAGTTTGGTCCGGACTGTAGACCGTTAAGTATGGTCTGGTCTGGTCCACGGTCTGTATTATTTTATGTTTTGATCTCTTGGTCTGGTCTTGTCTAGACCGCGGTTTACCAGACCAAACCGTGCATCCAACCGACTTGTCAATACGTGTTAACAGCCCATTCGACCACTCTCTCAACTCCCACAACGACATCCAAGTCTCAACCTTAGTTTTGTGAGTCTCATCCCTCCTTCATTCACAACCACATTTAACCAGAGAGTAGAGATAATCGTGTCTCCATATGACATTATGTTAATGTTTATGACGTTATGGTGCAAGTTGTGATGCTTTTACTTTGTATCTTTGTTATGTACTAAGATTTAGGGTATCAAAATTATTCATGCATGTTAAGATTAATGTTTTAAGGAAAATAACAATTGTTTTTTTGGTTATTGGTTCAATTTTTTGTGTGGTTGACTAAACAAATTATTCATTTTTCGTTGAGTGTGGTCTATCTGGACCAGACCAGACCGAACCAGACCGCACAGGCGTGGTCTGGACCGGACCGTATAGTCTGTGGTCTGGTTTGTGGTCTATACTTCAGCCTCTCGGTCAGGACCATAGACCGTATATATGGTCTGGTCTGGACAAGACCGCACCGTTTCCCAGCCCTCTTGCTAGATCGCGTTTCCTCTTAGTTACGTTTAGTATACATCTCTTTTCACTAGCTTATAACCCGACCCATTGGTTGGAATGTTCATATTTGATTATTTGTAATTTTATGTTAAGTTTAAGCCTATCAACCCATTTAATTTTTTGACAATCTTTCGATCGAGATGATACATAAAGAAATAAAATATAGGTCGAATACTCGAAGAAATGCCATCATCATTTAAGAATATAAAATATAAAAATGTATCATGGATTTCATTTTCATAATGATAATATTATATTGGTTAGTTGATAAAGATAGAATATAAAATCTCAATGGAATTACCACACGACCCATATATAGTTTGAAACTGAATCTAAAACCTCAGAATCCTACAAAAACGCTTCAATGCTCTCCTTTTAGGAACAACATGCCACTAATAAAAAAGATATAGAGAGTTGTTGGTTCAAGTCAACAATATACTACAAACTAAGCTAAGAGGGAACCATCAAAACTTGAGAGCAAACGACAAAATTAGGGTTACCTCCAATATACTAATAGACTTGATCAAAGTCATAAGACATAAAATTAGACACTCATTTTCTATCAGTTTCAGTAGGTTGAATAAAGATTCGACCTAAATCAGTAAATCAATCAAGGATTTCTCGTTTTAAGATAGAGATAGGTTGTGGTAGCTGCAAAAACCATAAACCTAAAGAGACAATAGCCACCACTCTCCGTTGAACGACCAAATTTTTATCCACTATATCTTTAATCTCAAGAGGCATATGTATCAACCAAACAACTCCATTTCTGCTACTTTGATGGACCTTCTCTCCGTGACCCTCAATTTCTCTTCCAATTGGGGTTCTTGTCAACTCACTCTTCAACTCCTCAATCTTCTTCTTGTGTTTGCCAACTCATCTTCCTCGGGGAAGTTGTAATAAGTTCGCTAAAACCAACTCTCTGCTACTTGGATGGACCTTCTCTTCGTGACCCTCAATTTCTCTTCCAATTGGGGTTCTTGTCAACTCGCTCTTCAACTCCTCAATCTTTTTCTTGTGTTTGCCAACTCATCTTCCTCGGGGCAGTTGTAATAAGTTTGCTAAAACCAACACTCATATCCAGTTCCATGAATATGTTCATCTCCCCCTTGTCTGCCTTCACCCGCTTCAGTCCACTTCCATGCCCTTCAATAACCTCTCCATTTTCATTACTATCCTCATCATCTCTCACTTCTCTCTCAATAATTGCTCCAATTTCGCTTCAATGTCTTTCAACACCCTCCTCAATTCATTCACTACCCTCTCCAACTCCCTCTTCTCTGCCTTCACCTGCTGCAGTGGAACTTTACCTGTTACCAAATCCAAACACAATTTCTTCCCCCCCCCCTCCCCCACCACCACCACTTTCATTCTCAAACTCACTTCCAACTCTTCTACTCCAAGTTCAAATTTATAACTACTTGATTGAACTCCATTCTATTCGTCATGGATTGATATCGGATTTGAAATTTTCTATTTGCCCAACATAAATCCCCAAAATAAAACTGTCGTGCCAAGAGAAATCGGAAGATTAATTTTCAAATGCGCCCTTGTACTGGGAAGTGAAAGGGCCAAATTATTGCACGATGGAGGGACTTTCAGAGTAAGTATAAAGAGATAAGAATAAAAATGAAAAAGCACAAAATTTAAATTTGAATTGAGAAATGCAATGGCACAACACGTAGTAAAAGAAATAGTTTCTTCCATGTTAGCCAATTACAAAATTACCTAAACGAAAATTAAGGAGAGCATGAATAGTGGGCTTATTGATCATGATGTAAAAGTCATTCACTTTCCAGAGTTTAACTTAGTGCATGTTTTGCATTCAAACAAAAATAACAAATTTATTTAGTGTAATTGGTTATGATCTTTGTCTTTGTTTGAAGAGACCCGGGTTCAAATCTTGATATTGATATTTTTTTATTTGAAATAAATAATTAATTGTAAAGACAAAAAATTTTCTTTCTACTTTCACTCACCATATATTAATCGAGGATTGAAAACAAAAAGTACCAAAATAATTTATCTCTGAACTTCATAAGTAGATAATCAATTACATTATGAGGACGAATTCAATTGAACTTTAGAACAAAATACAGATTCAACAAACACTTAATATAACGACAGGTGAGTAATAAACAAATATAACCTTCCTTCGGGACGGGATACGGTGACAACCCCTAAAGGGGTTGTCAGATTCACAACCAAGGGTATTTTGGGTATGCAAATAAGGAATATATTAATTACCTCTTTTGTATTAATTATATTGGAAATTAAAAACCCATATTAAATACAATTTTTTTGAAATTTAAATCCTATACATTAATATCTCTATCTATCTATCTCTCTCTCTTCCTTTTCTCCAGCGGCCACTCCGAATCGACCGACAAACTTTTTCTCCGGCGAATTCTCTCCGACAGACTCCCTCCGGCAACCTGAAAAAATGTACCAGTGCGTTAAAAAGTGTACTAATCTATTTAGTCTACTGGTAATTAATATACCAGTGCTAGTGGTACGCTACCAGTACGTTAAAAAATGTACCAGTACTAGCGGTACCAGGAAAAAATGTACCAGTACTAGTGGTACGCTACCACTACCATATTGGTAGCGGTACCAGTAGAGAATAACACAACGCTACTAGCACTGGTAGTGGTACTAGCGGTACCAGTAATGAATAAAACAAAAAAAAGCAGATAGTAGTGGTACCAGATGATAGGGGAGCCACTGGTATTGGTACCAGTGAGTAGTGGTAGCGTACCAATAGCGCTAGTAGTAGAGACTAAAACAAAAAAATCAGATCTGGAAAAAAATAGGGATGAGGAAAGAGGGAGGCAGGAGGGAGGCAGGGGTGGTGGTGGGAGGAGGAAGGGGAGGGCTTTGAGGAAGGGGATTGAGGGAGGATCAATGAGGAGATGTGGTGGTTGGCGGTGGGAGGAGGAAGGGTGGCGGTGGGAGGAGGAAGGGGAGGGCTTTGAGGAAGGGGATTGAGGGATTGGTGGTGGGTGGGGTGCCGGGGGAGGAGGAGACAGGGAGCTTGGCCGGCGGTGAAGGTGGAGGGAGGGAAGAAGGGGAGGATGCGGGAGGGAGGGTGTCAGCGGACGGTGATGTTTACGGGGGAGAGGGAGGATGAAGGAGTTAGGTTTTTTGTTCTTTTTATATGGTAGGGTTAATGATTGGGTGTGGTAAATTTTTACCCTTCCCAAAATATCCTTCATTTAATCTTAACCGTTAATTTAAAAAAAAAAAAAGAAAGAGACAAGAGAGAGAGTGTATTCAAGGGCTATGAAGTGGGTTGTGAATCTGACAAGGGGTTGTCACCGTACATCGTCCCCTTCCTCCGATGAGATCCATAAACAAACTAGAGAAACCAAATAACCAACAAATATAACCTTCCTCCAAAGAGATCCATAAACAAACTAGAGAAACCAAATAACCAACAAATATAACCTTCCTCCAAAGAGATCCATAAACAAACTAGAGAAGCCAAATAACCAACATCCACACATAATCATGCATCACGATCATAATCAGTTCACAAAGGCACAACGTTTCCTAATCTCCCCTTCGTTTCCTGTGAGAACACCAATCCCACCCATCTTCACCATTGATTTACCAAAATCCCTACCAAAAGTGGCCTTGACAGGAGAGGTGGACTGGCGTTTGACATAAGCTAGAGTTACAGGATCATTAAGAAGTGCTGCATCAGAGGTAAGGAGACCTCTGTTTTGCCTTACAGCTTTGTAGAAATGTGCATCAGAAATCGTGGAACTTCCTTGGTCCAGCTCAAGAACTGGGCCGCCGCCACCAGGCTTGCATTTCTTCTTCAGTTCTGAGGCAAAGGTTGGATCCAGGGCCGGGTCGGTATCGCTTCTCCCGGTGAAGTTGTATAGTCTATCGTTGATCACGAAACAACTTGTAACGCCAATGGTGTGCGCCCCTGAAAGTAACAGGATAAGAAAAATCGCTTTTAAGTAAATGGTATAAGATCTAGTTCTATAAAAACAAATCCTGTGATTTATTGAAGTGGTGGCATCTACAATTTTTTTCATGAAAATATTATAGATGTTAGATAGTGCAAATGATATTTGAGATTATACGAGAACTTCCCACGCACCCATAACAAATGAAATTATACTGTCTATGGAAAATTCCCCGTTAAACGTACAACTAAGACATGTAATGTTTACTTTAAAGACTGAACGAGACTCTAATTTTAAACATAACTATCAATTGTAATAGGAATTCATTAATGATACCAAAGGGTTTAGCATGTAAAAAAATTTGAAACCCATTGACACATAAACTAGGAATTATTTTAACTATTTTTACCTGACAAAACAACCAAGTCTTTCTTAGTTAAACCCTTCAATGCAAAGTTTTGTTTCAGCTGAGCTATGTTGAAATTCGAGGATGGTAAATTTTCGTCTGCCTCCTTGCTAAGTGAGATTCTTCCATCTCTACGTCCAGTTTCCACTTTCCAAGATGATCCACCCGTCTGAAAGTAGAGTAAAAAAAAAAAAAACACAAAACATACGTAAATAAAACATTTATAAAAAAAAAATACAGTAATTCGAAGGATGAGACTAGAACAATACCAGTCGAACCGCATCACGAGCAGCCAATGCCAATATATCGGCACAAGAAACCACACCGGGACAACTCTTCTCAATCGCAGACTTCACATCATCGATCACGTCGTACCCTCTCAAGCTGAAGTTGGACGATGCATCTTTCTCTGCGTCACCTTCCTCTGCTGCATCCAAAAGCACCGAAGCCTCACATCCCTTCAAAAATGCACATTATAACGTCGTCATTTGCATTATATATATAATGTCAAGAACGTCTTCGATCTGTTGTGATAATTAACAACCTGTAACTTTTAGCAACTTACTCTAACGAAGCAGTCATGGAAATGGAGCCTGAGCAATGCAGCAGCAATGGATCCGTCCTTGGAGATGGCCTTGCGAATAGTCTTAAGCGCTATGGTCTCTGCTTCAGGGCAGCTCTCATCGTAGAAACCAGTTTGCAGACCGGCTCCACTGGCCCGGTTCAGCCCTGAAATAGCGAGAAGAACTAGCTGAATGAAGAAAATCGACACAAGCCTTGTCTGAACCGCCATATTATTATTATTCTCTCTCTCTCTATGATGAAAGGCAGCAGCTAATTAGGTGTTAGTGGTTGCGATGAAAGAGTTAGTTGTGCTGCTGTTTATATAGTTCAGTGGAACCAACTTATTCGTGCAATATTTATATCATATTATATTGTATATGGGAACAGGTCAAACAGTATTGTATCGCTGCTTCACAGGTCAAACAAACAAATGGGGCCAAGATCAGCAATCCGAAGGCCGAAGGTCAGAAGGAGTATTGGCATTTAGCTTTTGTTTTCTTTCCGTTTTTTTTTTTTTTTTTTTTTTTGTTTCTCTTCCTGCATTGACTTCTTGAACAGCCGGCTCCTTGACTTCGTACACCTTGGATGCATGGCTTTATCAAAGAATACACCAAGTATGACAAGTGAAAGTAACCAACGTCGATATTGCTAAATTTGGCTCCATTATGGTGTGAGACGATCCTTGTAAAATTTGAACCAAGAATCCCTTCAAGTAAAATTTGATGTTATTGGCTTAATGCATTAAATTTAGTGCAAGATTTGAATTTAGGTGAGTTACCACTTAAATTAATTGTGTGGAATTTCATTTTGGATGAATGAGTGTTGTTTATAATTCTTTTGGCGTCTCATAAACCACTTTACAAGGCTTATAAATTGAGGTTCTAGGAGAAAAAATGAATTCATCTTGTCAGTTTTCAAAATATGACATGTTGTGTGGCACCATAAATGGTCTGTATTTTTCTGAAATAAATTTGACCCACCTTATATAAAATCCTGAGTTCGCCCCTTTTTCTAGGGTTGAACAACATAAAACTATATATCTTTCTGAAGCTTCTTTGCAAATCTCATGAATTTCTTTTAATTTGTGATGCCCCCCCCCCCCCCCCCCCCCCCCTCTCCATAGGGCTCTTTTGTTTTTTGTTTTTAGTCTTTTACTTTTTTTTTATAAAACACCTGCATTATTTCATTAAGACGAAATAGTACAGGAATCAGCTTAAAGATGTGAAACAAGGAAAATAGAGGGCCTCAAAGCCCAAAACTCAGTTCAAGCCCAACCATAGGAAGTATGTGACATGATATGTGCTGCCTAGTTATTGGTCCGACCCGAGAAATAAACTGAAACCGGTCCAACACTATCCACCATTTCCTTGATTTCCTCACTCAGATGTCATTCTTCCAAGATCGAACAATCGTCTCACTCACTGAGGTCAAGCAATTAGAATCAACTTCTCCAAGCAAGAAATGATGCCTCTTTGCAATCTCCAGACCAAAACGGATCGCTGGCATCTCCACAACTTTCGGCAACCACTGTTCTGGCAGACGCCGCACCGCCGAAAGTGGAATCAAACTTGTCGATCCCGAACCACCACCCCGAGTCCAGTTCCACCTCCCTCAATGCAAGCAGCATCAACATTATCTTGAATTCAGCAGTCTTTGACGGCTTCCAGCAATACACCCTCTTCTCTGTAATCTCCTATTGCCCCTCATGATGCTCAAAGGACTCCTCCAACCATCTTTATGCATTCCCTAAGATTTCTCATTCTTCATATTCCCTCCTCCTATAGAGCCACCATCTATTCTTCACAGGTAAGACCTTCACCTTTACTGAAAAAACCATTTCAATAACTAGGTCTCCAAACCCTTCGCACCCACCCATAGTCAAAGAAATTATGCTTATGTCTTTCTCTTTGTCCGCAATAGGGCACATCCCTTAAGGGTCCTATCCATAATATTAGCTCCGTTAGGCAAAACATTCCTAATCCACTTCCATCCGAAGACTTTAACTTTGTGTGGAATGTTATGCCCCCAGAAACAATCCTATTTGATAGGACTGTACAACTCACCGTTGATTTCTTCCTATTTATCCATTCAATGGTGATAAACCAATTTCACTATGTAAGTTCCACGCTTCTTGATTCGAGCCTAATTTTATACTTTTTATCCTCGTTTCTCTTTAACATTTGTGGCAATTGAGCTCCAAAAGGGGTGGTTTTACGCTAGGTTTCTTGGGTTTCAATCTGTTTCAGAGTCTAACAGGGAAACCAATCCCGGATTCAAAAGTTGGAAGAAAAAGAGCAAAGACTGGGCAAAGAGAAGGAATCAGCCAGAGATCACGGTCCAGCATTGGAGTTCACGGTCGCCAAGACCGTGAACTGGAACCACAATCCGTGAACCGGAAAGCTTCCAGAGGGGTTTCTGAGGTTACTGACGCCAAGACAGTTCACGGTCGCTAAGACCGTGAACTGGAACCACAAACTGTGAACCCCAGAAGTTAAGCGATGCGTTTTGATGCAATCCACTGAGTTCACGGACACGTTCTGATATTCACGACCGTGAACTGGGCACGATCTCAGTATAAATGGAGAGTTGAAAGGAAGAAGAAGGAGAGCCCAAAGTGAGAGAAACCTTTTTCTTCTTAAAACGCTAGAGAGAGAAAGTCACGAACCAAAAGGGAGAAGAGGCTAGGATTTGCTCCAAGTGAAGATTTTGGAATCTCCTCTTCTTTGGGGGATCTCCAGAAGCGCAATGAGAGTTGGAGGCATCACAATGATGGTTTCTTCTTCCTCTTTTGTGTTCTTCCTTTGTCTAGCATTGAGAAGTTTCCCTTTTCACTTGGGTGTTGTAGAACCCTAACTACTATCTTGTAATTGATTGTGTGGATTGAATAATTGTGTGATGATGGTGTTTAATTTACGAATTAATATATTTTTCATGGTGATCGTGCATATTGTTTGCTTGGCAATCTATTGTGCTATTCTAACCTAGATTAGAGAGAAGCCCCCTTATCTTAAGAGGATCTAATTGAGTTGGGTTTTCTTAGGCATTCCATGCCTCTTAACTAGGTTAATGAAGAGCAACCCTCTACTTGAACTAGACACCTAGGTTAATTGTGATTATGCCGTTCAATCCTTGGTTTGAGGGAGAAGGTAAGTCAACCCTGAATTGCTTGGGCCAAGAGGGTTACAGTTGTAGTCTCTAATGCTTACCTTGGCCTAGCAATTGAGAGGATTGTTTCTAACCATTGATGCACCTCCTACAGGTCACAATTGCCTTGTCACACACCGGTTTCTTCGATCCCACGGTTCATGGTAGTTAGTTAGGGGGGAGCAACACCCGATTGAAGCTTCTCACCAAGAGTTTTCCAACCATTTACTTTTCAAAGTCTTGCTTTTAAATTGTAGATTGTAGAGATTTCACCAAACAACAATCTGCTAGATAATGTTTCAAACAATCGAAGTAGGGGTACATGGGCCGGCCCAGGTTGATATTTAAACATACTTGCCCTATATTGCACTCATCTAAGGTTTATACTTGGGCCTTAGGTGGGATTTTATTGTGATAGTCGGAGCGAGTCACTTCTCCAGTCTCCAAACAAGACGATCTTCACGGGGCTGTCTTGGTTTAGGGACTTTCCGAATTGGAATGTAATCTTGAGGGTTCAAGTGTGCCTGTAGGATATTGAGCTTCCATTGTCTTGATTCCAGATCCATAAGTTCATTGACAGACGTAGTATCACCCACCTGTGAGACATGTGAGGTCACTTTGTGGTTTTCTGCAGAGGGTACCCATCTATCTTGCCATATGCAATCTTGCACCCGTTGCCAATCTTCCATCTCATACCTTCTTTCACCAAACCCTAAGCTGCCATTAAGCTCCTCAACACGTTGCTAGGATTATACCCCATCTCCGCTTCCAGAATGCTGCATGTTGGAAAATACTTAGCCTTTAAAGACTTTGGAAACAAAAGTAGTGGGATTCTGGGCCATATTCCACACTTGTTTACCTATCATGGCAAGTTAAACTCGTGCAAGCATTTGAACCCCATTCCGCCGTTAGAATTCCTACGTCACAATTCTTTACACCAAATCCAATGCGTTCTCTTCTCACTGTTCTGTTGTCCCCGCCAAAAATTAGAGAGAAAGCTCTCCATGAATAACATTAAGAGGAACCAATAAAACTTGCATTGCATAAGTGGTTTGGGCTTGGGCAACCACATTAATCAGAACCTCCTTTCCTCCATAGGACAATAGATTACTCTTCCAAAGTTTGACTTTTTTTCCTCACACGGTTCATAAGGTAGCTATAGATTGTCTTCTTTTGTCTCCCAACCACTGTAGGTAGCCCAGATATTTGGAGTGGAAATGTACTATCTTCAATCCCATAATAGTAGCAATTTCCTCCCTGATCCCATATGTTACATTCGGGCTAAAAGAATTTTTTTTATTTTAGTAGATTGACTTTTTGGCCTGATTCTTCTTCATAAATAAGTAGGATGTCTCTTAGGCTTTCACATTCCTGTCGAGTAGCCTTGGACCTTGGTAAAGAGAACACTTTCATCAACAAACAGTAAGTGAGAAATAGAGGGAGCTCTCCCTTTCACCTTAATCCCTTCTATATTATTTTCTCGTTCTGCCTGCTGAATCAAAGTAGACAACCCTTCTGCAATGAAAAGAAATAGATAAGGGGAGATGAGACCCCCTGGTAAGTCCCCTTATATAATAGAAACCTATGTTTGATGACCATTAACTAAGATATAAAAGGATACTATAGTGACACATTTCATAATTAGGGCCACCCATTGATCTGCGAAACATAGCTTCTTCATAATAACCTTTAGAAAAGCCTATTCCACTCTATCATAAGCTTTTGCGATATCTAACTTGTAGACATAAACTCTTTCTTCCCCTGCGTTCTGCCTTTCATAGAATGAAAGCACTCAAAAGCCACCATCACGTTATCAGTGATCAGCCTACCAAGTATGAAAGCACTCTAGTACTCAGAGATCACAACATTTAACATTCCTTTTAGCCTATTGGCCAGTGTTTTAGAGAAAATCTTGTAATGAACTTTACAAACGCGTACGACAATAGACTCTCTCGAGCTGCGAGAGTTTCGGAGAGGAAAGGCGGCGATAAACCCTAGGCCCTAGGGTTTTACCTCTATTCTTCAGGTTGATATTATCTATCGTGAAGATTGTCCATTGTTTTTTTTTTTTTTTTGTATTTTACTTTTCTGTTAACCTATCCGCATTAGAATATAATTGTTCACAAACTTTTCTCTACCTTAAAACTACTACATAAAACTTCTCCCTTGATATATAATTCATAGTGCTTTTTATTTAAGTTGTGAAGTGATGAGAGTGAGTTTGTGTGATAATTTTTAATGATTATTTATCATTATTATCATTAACGATAATTGTTTACGGAAAAAGATGTGGTACAAAACCCAATTATCCACCCTCAATCTCTTTCTCATGTAATGGCCTAGATTAATTTGCAACCAAAAAAAAATTACAGGGACAGACTGATAATTTCGTGGGCTTCTACCTCTTTTCTTTCTGAGCATCTTACTCGAAAACATATGAAAGAGAAGAGATAGCTGACCAGTCAAAGACTATTTTTTCTAATTTCCTAGTTTTCTTAATTGAATCATATATATAGCATTCATGTAACTCAGAATTTCAAAAGTTTTGCATAGAAAGAACAAATGGGGGATTTTTTCCAATAATAGCACGTTTAAAAAAAATTACAAAAATAGCAACCAGTCCATAAAATTTAAAAAAATAGCACCATTTTTTTGATCCACATCCATCAATTTTCCACGTACTTGTTTAATTACCTTGAATTGTTCTAGCAAAACCAACCACAAACTAAACTATCAGCTGTCACTAACTTATTAAAGCAATATTTTCTGCAAATTAAACTGCATATAATTAAACACAATTTATATTTTGTAGAGAGCTACATATCTCCTGCAAAAAAGAATCGTGCTTTATTACCTAATAACAACATAGACAAATAATGAAAGGAGCAGTTTAATTCATATTCCTCATTTGTGAACTGAATATATGAATCAATCCAAATAGTAATTTGTAAGAAAACAATCATGTCAAAATCAATCTTTAGTTAGGGATTCAATGCAGAAAAATTCACCTTAATGAAACAAACAAATGTCACCACAAACATGTAGAAATTAAAAAAACATCGAAATAGACAACCGAGAAACCACCATTATCATTTTATTTCTTCTTCGCGACCTTTATAAAATCCCAATTATGTTCCCTTCTACTTATAACCCCTTTGCTACCTACTAATTACTAACCAGATCATCATTGTATAGCTAGCTAGTAGTAGCATGTCAATCATGAACATAAAATATAATAAACAATCATCACAACTCTACTTTCCATTTCAACATTCAAGAAATCTGGTTGCAATAGACATTCAAGAAAAATGATCAATTATTCAACCAAAGGAGGTATGCCCTAAGTCCAACCAATAACCCTTCTAATTATATTTTATATACATGAAAGTATATGGCGACCCTTCTTAGTAAAAAAAAAAAAAGACGAAATATATTCACTCATCGAGAGTGGGAAAATTTACCATCCAGCAGTCATAATTTGGAAGAAATTAAGAAAAGAATGAGAAAAAGAGTATAACTCGGCCAGTCAACCGCAAACAATAACATATCGCTGAGAAAGTGAGACCAGTTGCCAGCTTCAGATCAAAGAGGAAGAGGGAGCAGTCGACAACCCTCGGCTTGGTTCACCTCATCTTCACAATAATCAGATTAACTTTTTTCATCAATAGGCAAAAATATGTTACAACTGCTCAAAATTTTGTCATCTCATCGTTGTCTCGTGTAATTTCTGCCTCCTATTCTCATACAAAGAAAACAAATCGTATGCATTACCATTTACTTCTCTATAAATTATGAGAATACAAATATTAGAAACCTCAAAAAATTTAGCAACTAATAAGAGGGTTTTGTTTATTTTTATGATGGTTGACATACTTTCTTGATTTCTTATTTTCAATGTTGAATTTTATTTCTAGAGAGAAAATCAAAATGGGGAAAGGGATAGAACCAGATTAAAATTTTGTATTAATAATTAATATATTTTCATTTAATAGAAATAAATAAGAAGTTTTTAAAAAAATAATAATTATTGCTCTATCAAGTTTATATTCAGACATTTTGTTATATAATTTATACTTGTTTTATTTGATAGGTATATACATAAGAAAGAAGTGAGTGTTTGATAGCAAAACACATATATGCATATCGTTCATTTCACAAAGTCGATTGATTGTCAAAAGTTTATTTTCTCTTAGACCATCGTTTATATTTTGTATTGAAAAATATTAATATTTATGTGTGTGCTTGTTTTTTTTTTCTTCATCAAAATGTAACTTATTGTTAAGTTTTAGTAAAAATGAGTAGAAAATTTACTTAATCAGCTTGGGTTAAACAAATACAATATATGTCACTCTCTGTTTCCATCTTTATAGTTCATTTAATCGAATTTTTTTTTATTACTTAGGTGTGTGCTTTTTGTTTAAATTTTTCCTAAAAAATTAACTTATTTTAATTTTAGTAAAAATGAGTAGAATTATTAAAAGAAGAGAGAGACAACTTCATAAATAGATCAATAAATAGTTTTTTGTTTGAAAAAAAATTGTCCACCTTGGAAACTTGTGCATTCACCAAGTGCTTATGTGGCAAGATGTTATTTTTGAATAGGCATAATATTTAGTATAGATAGATAGATAGATATAGAAGATTATATGTACTAACCTTGTTGTTATTCTCTCGTAGGTTGGAGACGACGTGGATATATACAACCAACAGTATTATTTGGATCAAGGACCTATTGATCCAAATGACTTGTACGACCAACCCAACCATCGTTCAAGGTATGTTTGGAACGATCATGAGGTACATACAATTCTTCATCATTTGTCTTTCTTTTATTTTGCTAATGTACTTAGTGGAATATAAAATAAATTTGATCGAATACATACAATTATTCATCATTTGTCTTTCTTTTAAATTCCAATAATATAATCGAATACATAGCGCCACTTACTTCGACTCTTTATAAAGAGATGCACGTCTAAGGAAATGGGGTTTTAAGCGATTATCATGATCCTCTCATTTCCTGGTAAAATCGGGTATTAAGAGATCCTCGGATCCCCCATTTTTCTGTCAAATGGCTGCGTTTCTAAGAAGATGTATACCTCTTCTAAGAGTCTAACGAGTGTTGCATTGTATTCAATTAAATTATTTAAAACAACCAATATGATTAAATTATTTACCAAACAACCAATGCGATTTATGTTTATGTGTACAAAATGAATTTTATTAATTTCAAATGTTTGAATATGTATGTATCCCTTAAAATTATTATTCATTTACAATGTTATTTATGTCAATTAATTGAGTATGTTTGTTTTATGATAATATGTATATATCTTGGAAAAAACCATCAATTATTTAAATTTGATTATTAATAATATAATTATAATAAAATTATGGTCGAAATTAAATCATTAATTTTAATTAATTTAGTTATAAGAAAAAACTATTACTAATATATCATAAATAAGGTGGAAATTTTTGCTATGAGGCACAACAAATACTCCGCTACAGGGGTACGGCCAATGTGCTCCCATGGAACCCAGTTATCTTCCCTTTTCTCAAAAGGGCACGGTTGGAGTCGATTAGGCATTTTGTAGGCATAAAAGTCGATCGCCAACTCATCACCGCATTGGTGGAGAGATGTTGAAAGGAGACACATTGTTTCAATTTCGCGAAGGAGAGTGCACCATCACGCTAAAGGACGTCGCCATCCTAACCCACCTGTCCATCGACGGCAAAGCGGTGTGTGTGAGTGATCATCCCCTTGAGGATCGTGACGATATGACCGGTTGGCAGCATTTCATCCATAGTGTTTTGGGGGTGAAAGTACCAATCAAGGGGAGCGTTGATACGATGTATCGCTTGCCACCATTGAGGAAACACCAAGTATTAATCACTTGGTTGACGAAGTATTTTAGGAACCATCACGATCCTGCCAAAAATGGGGTGACCCTAACCAAGGAAAGTCCGGAGCTAGAGAAGGAAAGATATGCTCGTGTCTATCTCATAGGCATGATCAGAGGAGTGTTCTTCTCCAAAAAAATTGAGCAATTTAATTAGCTGTGGATGGCTTAGGATCCTCCTTGGTAGTTGGGATGAGATGGGGGAGTTGAGTTGGGCATCCGTTTTCCTAGCTAATATCTACCACCATTTGTGCAATGCATCTCTCAAACCTGGTCCTGAATCATCAGCACCTTCAAGAGGGTCGCAGTTGTCTGCACTGACGTTGTTCTCTCCTTCTTCATCGGAGGGGTCACTAACTGGTGTTGGCAGGGCATCTTCCATCTAATCCAGCTCATGAAAGGCACCTTCATCAGCTCCATAATGGTAGTTGTGAAAACTACCGCTGCCTGATTGGAAGTTGTACTCGGGTTGGTTGACATAGCCCGGTTGAACTTCTTCTTCATATGATGGGAAAGATTGATGATGACCTTCACCTTGCTCTTGGTACTGAAAATAGGAATGAGGATCATGGTAACTTCGGTAGGGACGATCTCCATATAATTCACCTCCACCATGGATACCAGATGTTTGACCGTCTCCATAATGACCTCCAACGGCTACGATCGCCTCGGTGTAAACGAACATCTCGGCTTTGGAAAGATTGTTGGACCTCAAGAATTCGAGCATGGCATCTACTTCATCCTGAGTGGTTCTGAGATATTCCTCGTGCCACAACAACCCGCCTTCTCTGTTTGGATACCGATACACCATACGATCAACTCTTCTCGTGTCATCCATGCAAGTAACGTTAGTACACATTTGATAGAGGTCTTCAAGCATCGGTCTGGTAGCGACCTTTATTTTTCCGAAAATTTCCATCGACATAGGTGACCCCCTTTCCTGTCTTTTATTGGCAAAATCATCGATGAAAACTGCATGGGGAGGGTGCGGTTTTCATCTGTTATGCATCCCCACGTCTGTCAACCTGCATGGCAACATTTTGATGTCGGAAAAATGGGGACGACACACAAACCGCATCGGGGGGGGGGGGGGGGGCGGTTTGTATGTCGGCAAGGGCAAAACCGCATGTTGAGGTTGCGGTTTGTTTTGGAGAAACAAAACCGCATCCCTAACGTGCGGTTTTGCTAGGTCAGACCAAGAATCGCACCTAGGTCATGCGGTTCTGTTAGGTCAGACCTGAAACCGCATGCCTAAGATACGGTTTTGGCCCAAAACCTTAAACCGCACCTTGTGCGTGCAGTTCACAATCAAATCGCACCTTGGAGGTGCGTTTTTAAAAAAAGGGTGCTATTTTTGTAATTTCTGCAGGTTGGGTGCTATTTTTGTAATTTTTTTTAAAAAGGTGCTATTTCTGAAAAAATCCCCTAATTATGGCTTAAACAATGATATTCATTTTGCTATATTCTGAGCAAAGACAAATTTAACTCGTCAAAACAGGTGTTGGTTCTAGTATTATCACTGCCATATCAATCATATGATCATGATATGACAGTGGTATGATGACTCAACTCCTTCATTTTAACTTAATTTTTTTTAAAAGTTGTATAGAAATGACGCATTCATTAAGATCTACACAATTATGTCTATATTGTTATGTTTTATCAAACAAAAGACATCATGCTAACATCATATCATTTTTATATCATAGTATTATCATTACTATAATCTAGCCATGAGTTATATGGTGTCAAATGGGCATTTTTATCTCAATTTTCATTTATTTTTCCATCTCACAAAAGAAAAAAATATAATAAGAAAAAAATAAAAAAGAAATTTTGGTTGTGGTTGTCCACCACACCAATGGGGCATCCCCACGCTGGAGTTTCTCCCTTGATTGTCGAAGTAAAGCTCCCCCTCGTGACAACCTCCAGAGTGGGTGAGCCTTAGAGGTCCACTGTCGTCAAGAGATAGCTGACTCCGCCGGCTCCAATCGGACGTCCTCTTCTTCCTCTTTGTCTTCCGTAGCTGCAGTGGAGAAAACAAGATGAAGTAGTGAAAAAGACAAGATGAAGAAGAAGGAAGTTATTTTCATTTTCATTGAAACATTTTGACAGTTCTGTTTACACCATAAAATTTTTCATGTACCACATTGGTGAGTTACAAGATAATCAATGAGTTTATAAGTCCACACCTATTATAACAATTAATATTGTTTAAGTTGGGCCTTATGGATATTGATTTTAAGCCCAAGCCACTAAGTCTGGAGAGTGACATGCCGCCCAAGCGAATAGGGCCATATGCACGATTGAGAGGTCCATGCCGCCTCATGAGAGGGGCCATGGACACAAATAAAAAGGGTGTGGTGATGGAGCATTATAGCACTAGTGAATATGTCTCAAGAAGCAAGAAGACCACGACCCCCTTTGTGAGACACCACATGCTTATCAAAAGACTAGTGTGACACGAGATTCATAACAAGACCAGGTGAGGCAAGCTACACTCCAAGACCCCATGACGGTTACAAGAGAGGCCCATAGGCGGTTGAAGGAGTAACCACCACTTCGAGAAAGCAGGGAGCGGTTCTTTTTGGGAGTTATCCAAGAGGCGGTTTTCTACCGAAGAAGGTGGAGCGGTTCTTTGTAGCAGTTATCCAACAAGTGGTTTTCTATGGCAGTTACCTCATCGTGGCTATAAATAAGAGGAGGGGTGAACAGAGACAAAGGCCCCAAAACCAAACAACTGACACGCATGTCAAGTTTATCCGTTACCTTTTTTCTATCATGTAGCCATAGATATAGTTTGTAGTTTGGACAAATGTCACTGCTCTCCATCGCCTCAGTATGCCAAGCCATCACTATGACTTGGTGGTAAGATCTTCACATCAAAGTCTAATAACTTCGACTCAAAATTTCCACTTTGTTATTTTCTCTCTATTTTTTCTTATATAGCCATGATTGGATTTTATTTATTTATTAATATATATGATATTTATTTATATAAGATAACAAGGAGTGACAAACGTCACTGCTCTCCATCGCCTCTGGCAACAACTAATGCGCCAAAGGTGTACACCCACTGCCAAGTCCATTGATTAAAACATGCAAGCCATCCATATACCACATGCCTCTTTTGCTCCATGGAACATGATTCTCCATACATTAATTTTGAATCTTGTAGCTTACCAGTGGGTGGTATATGATCAGCATGTCTAGCCTTGGTGGCCTTGCATGGGGTCTCATGCTCATATGCTTTAGCCACATCACTTGACATGTCAAGACAACCATGGGTTTTCCTCTACCTTGGTTTCCTCATGGTTGAGACAATGTTACTCTCCTCATGTTGTTGGAGACTTTTGTCCAGTCTTGACAAGTTGGCGACCACCCATGTGGCCCACTTGACTTTGTCTTTCAACCTCCAAATCTTGTTGGCTCCTACCCTTAGCACACGACCATCCTTGGTTCTTTGTGAGGCCATGTCTGGTTTGTGCGTATGATACCTTCTTATGCATGCCCCTATGTCCATCATTCATGATTGATGGCATGTCCTTACTACTCATGGACATGGACTTGCCCCCTGTCCACACTTAGCCAAACTTGCGTACTTATCACAAGCATGTGTAGGTTGGAATTCTTTTAGATTCTTGGACATGCCCCCTACTCCATTATTCATGGTGGGTGACATGCCACCTCAGCAAAGAGGGCCATGTCCAACTAAAATCTAGAAGCATGTGCCGCCTCATGAAGAGGGCCATGTCCATCTAGAAATCGAGGAGCACATGCCGCCCCATGATCAAAACTAAATGACTGAAAAATTAACTACGTCTGGAAGAGGTACATGCGCTTCAAGGAGAAGCACGTGCCATCTCGATTCATAAGAAGAGACATGGACGCGAGACAAGATGAGACGTCCATGCTGAGTCAGGAGAAGGGGAACGGATGGGAGACAAGAGGCATTGGCATGATTGAAAAACTAAGTATGAGAAAGCCATGCCACCTCAAGAGAAGAGCCGTGTGCATTATTGGGAGATCCATGGCCGTGTCACGAGGGGGGGGGGGCATGGACGCAAGGCCGCGAATCACACTTCAAAGAAGATAAAGATATTCTAAGTGTGGAGAAGGACTTGTCGCTTTAACGAGGAGGGTCATGTCCCTCTAGAGATCGAGAAGGTCATGCCGTGTCACAGGATGGGCGACGAGCATGAATGAGAGGTCCATGGCTGCGAATGAAGAGGCCATGCCGCCTTATGACCAAATTCGAATGACCTAAAAATATTCTAAGTCTGGGAAGAACATGCCGCTTCACGAGAGGGGCCATGTGCACAATTGGGAGGTCCATGCCGCCTCATGAGACGGGCCATGGACACAAATAAAAAGGGTGTGGTAATGGAGCATTATATCACTAGTGAATATGTCTCAAGTGGCAAGAAGACCACGACCCCCTTTGTGAGACACCACATGCTTATCAAAAGACTAGCATGACACGAGATTCAAAACAAGACCAGGCGAGGCAAGCTACACTCCAAGACCCACGACGGTTAAAAGAGAGGCCCCTAGGCGGTTGAAGGAGTAACCACCACTCCGAGGAAGCAGGGAGCGGTTCTTTTTGGGAGTTATCCAAGAGGCGGTTTTCTACCGAAGAAGGGGGAGCGGTTCTTTGTAGTAGTTATCCAACAAGTGGTTTTCTATGGCGATTACCTCCTCGTGGCTATAAATAAGAGGAGGGGTGAACAGAGACAAAGGCTCCAAAACCAAACAACTGACACACATGTCAAGTTTATCCTTTACCTTTTCTCTATCATGTAGTCATAGATGTAGTTCGTAATTTGGAGCTCTCGTTGAACCTCCATAGGAGTAGGAGTAATTTAATTTAGATTTGTTCCTAAAACCCATCAATCAAACAACCCTCGTTCGAACTTTGTTTGAAGAGGTGTGAGTCGTGTCTTAGTAATCGTTGTCCAAAGAAGTCAAAGGTGCAATCAATCTCAATTCAACGCAAGAAGTTTTCTCGCCGGAAAACAAGTTCTTTCAAATATGTTGAAGAAGAAGCAGTGGATCTTTTTAATATTTCTTTGGGTTAATACCCTAATTTGGCCCAAAGTTTAGCGTTAGTGACAGATTTGGCCCCATTTTTTAAATAAGACGTTTATGACCTATTTTTTAAATTATTGGACAAATTTGGCATATAGTAATGTTTGACCGACAGAATTAACGGTCAAACATTTAGCCCGTTAATGACTCAGCTTTCACCGGTGACTAGACTCATCCACTTCATTTGAAAATTAAATAAAAACAAAACAAAAGGGAATGGTCCAACACAACAAAACTTTCCCTTTAATTCCTTATCCCCTTTCTTCTTCTTCGTCGTCTCCTCCTCACCCAGCCTGATCGAGACTCCAAACAGAATCGAGGCAAGCCCGATGGCGACCCCGACCTAGGGAAGACAGTCAGGTTGAACTCCGACGACGATCACCGCCACTCCTACTCCTCTGAATCCCATGCGCATTGTCCGACTTCTGCTGGCTTCCATCGTTTGGCGGTGAGATAGCTCGACGGCGGAGATCCCCTGAGGAGAGGAGTTTGCGGCGGAGACGACGGGCGGAGGAAGAGACTGAGAAAGCCAATCTAGTCTCTATAGCAAGTGGAGCCGGAGGGGGAGCATACTATATGGGCGAATATCTGTTCACGGGAGAGAAAGCTAAAAGGGGGAAAAAGTTCTGAAATAGCACCGGCTCCAGTAGAAATTTCTCGATTTCGAAATGTATCGAAGCCCTGGGTAGTAAAAAAAAGCGGAATACTGTATTTCCAGGATTGGATTTCATATTCGAATGAGATGGGGGATATGTGGAATGATGATGGGATGTCATAATAGTCGTTGAGAATCATATGTGGGTGTGGTACGTGAACTGCAGGTTTTTCCCGACGGCAGGCCTTTTTTCCCCCGCCGATGGCGTCAACGGCTATGCTCGCGAACTGCGGATAGAAGTGGTCATCGTGGGGTCGAAGTCCAAGTCGCAAATCGTGTGGGCGGGGATGATCTCGGAAATCCCCAACTGTTTCGTCATCTCCGGCGCGGTCGTTGTGGGGAGCCTTTGAAGCTGTAGTGACTTCCTCGGACGCGGTGCGGCGCCGGCTGGACGGTGGGGAAGATGAAGAAGAAGCCGCCGCGGGTGTTTAGATAAGGAGGCAGCATATAGATCTAGGGTTTGGTTGGAGTTTTGGGATAAGAGGGGATTTCTTTAATTTGTTAATTTTGAATTTTAATTGAATTATAAAATTAAAATAATATTATTTAATGATGTGGCATGCCACATCAGCTGGTTTTTTCTGAATCACTTACGGAATAGTGTTTGACCGTCAATATTAACAGTCAAAGAAAATTTCGGGCCAAGTTTGTCCATTAATTTCAAAAGTAGGCCATAAACGTCTTATTTGAAAAATGGGGCCAAAACTGTCACTAACGCTAAACTTCAGGCCAAACTAGGGTATTAACCCTATTTCTTTCAAATATTTTATTTCGATTGAAACATTACAGTTGGTTTGGTTTATTTCATCATTAATGAGTAATATTTTTTTATAATGGTGAATAATGCATTAACAAAAGCCCAACTAACAGTGTCCAAGACAAAACAAAAGTCGTTCATAAAAAAACAAAACAAAAGCACGGCAGCACAAGCAGAACATGTGAAGCAAACAAATCGAAACAAAAACAACAAGAGAACAAAAGACTAATGCTTACCACAAGATGTGAGCTAAGCCAATTAGGTAGCCCCCAATCCGTTCTAATGAATAATATTATGTGAGATGAATTTAGTCTTCATAAGAAATAGACATTTCACTTGGTATATACGATTTGAACGTTAGATATTCGGAACCAACATTGATTCATGTATCAGGTATAAGATGATAAATTTGAGTGCTTTGATTGCTAAATTTCGACATAATTTCATGGAGTTAGACTTTCCAAACCTTTTTGGAAGACATGAGTAAAAATTAGATGGAATTGAACTGATATGTGGGCGTATGATAAACTGGTAGAATTTTTAACATGTGCATATGATAGACTTAGCCGTAAGCCAATATTCATCCATTAGAAATGAAATGCTTAACTTAGAAGTATGCACGGTCTAAATCAAAGCCTAACAATCATTGATTGTGTGTCGGCTGCTTAGTTGGGAGAGGTCTTCTCGTTCACAAAGATTCACGTCTGCATGGGAGCACCTCCGGGCACGAGGCTCATATAGTTAATTAGTTACGTCTCACAAGCCTAGCTGAGAGACCACAAATATGCTTTTGAGTATAAATTGCGAAAACATAAATAACTTAGAATAGGTCCATGCTAGTGTACGCTAATGCTCTGTACGCCCATCGAGTTTGGCTATTTAGACCATGAATCAATCAGAGTTTGGGTCATGATATTATATGTTAACCTCTAATGGGTGGACCCAATTTCTAATAATCATAAGATTTATTTAATATAAAAAAAAAATAATGACCAACAGTTCTAAATCATCCTCCAATAATATATGGTAGAGTTTTGTGTAATTTTCTCAATTTCAAATTTCTCGCAATAAGAGTGAAAGTTGGAAGGACATTTGTCTTTACAATTAATTATTTATTTCAAATAAAAAATATCAATATCAAGATTTGACCCCGATTCTATTCTAATAAAGGCAACAATCACAACCAATTACATTAAACAAATTTGTTGTAATATTTTTAATACAAAACATATACGAAGTTAAACTCTGAAAATCGAAGGACTTTTTCATCATGATTAGCAAGACCACTAAGTCTAACGTATGTATTTTTATGGTGCTTGATACTTCAAAATATTCATAATAGAGTTTCATGTAATTTTCTACATTTTAAAAATCCTGCTCTCTCCTATTTTCACTAAAGGTAAATCGATAATTGGCTAACATAGAGGAAACTAATTATGTTACTAGGTGTTGTGTTCTTGCATTTTTTAATTTAAATTTTGTGATTTTTTTATTTTTCTTCTTATCTCTTTCTAACTTCCTCCAAAATTCCCTCTATCGTGCAATAGTTTGAGCCCTTTTCACTTTCCAGTACAAGGCCGTCTTTGAAAATCAATCTTTCGATATCTCTTGGCACTACGATTTTATTGTTGGGGATTTAGCTGGGTAAGTAGAAGATTTCAACTATGATATCAATCCATGGGGAATAGAATGGAGTTCAATAAATGGAGTTGTTGAAGGAGGATTAGAAATTGAATTTTAGGTTGAAACATATGCCTCTTGAGAAAAAAATTTGGTTGTACAATGGAGAGTGGTGGCTATTGGTTCTTTAGGTTCATGGTTTTTACAGCTATCACAACTTATTTCTATCTTAAAACGAGGAATCATTGATTGATTTATTGAAGTAGGTATATTCTTTATTCAACCTACTGGAACTGATAGTTAAGGAGTGTTTAATTTTGGGCCTTATTATTTTGATTGAGTTTATTAGTATATTGGAGGTAACCCTAATTTTATCGTTTTCTCTCAAGTTTTGATGATCCCCTCTTAGCTGAGTTGTTAGTATGGTTGACTTGAATAAACAACTTACCATTTCTTTTTTATTAGTGGCATATATATGTGGCTCGGGTTGGAGAATTAGGGACTAGGGTTCACCCATTAGAGGTAAGGATATAGTATCATGCCCAAATTTTGATTAATTCATTATCTAAATAGTAAAACTCGACAAGCGTATGATAGCCTGTCGTACGCTAGCCTTTTCCATATATATATAAACCATATATGGCAAAGGCTAGCGTATGTCAGGCGTACGCTGTATATATATATATATATATATTGACTTCTATCATACACCATACATATATTGGGGTATGTAGTACACCAACAATCTCTACTGCCCACGTCCATCTCAACGGTCAGCATTAATGCAAGTTCTTTTTGTGGGATTAAAAAAAATAAATTATCTCATTTATGATGGCCGTCTGCGTCCATCTCAACGGCCATCATAAATGAGGTAATTTATTTTTTTTAATCCCAGAAAACTACAAGGCTAGACAAATAATCAGTACAATGAGACTACCTATAAAAGGTCTAAACTAAACTAAATAGCTATTACTGGAACCACAAAATATTCTTGCATGTAGCCTGAGCCAAGTTGAGATCCCCCTGCTATCTTCCACTCCATGATTTTTTGCATTCTAGCAGTCGGGTTAACCAAAGATAGAGCTTTTCCCCATGAACTCTTATACACCTCTCCCTCCACAATTCACTCACCATAAGGTTCCATACAAGTCTACCAACCATACAATTACTGAATCTCTACACAGCCTCCACCAATCCCTCCTCCCAACCTGCAAAAGGCTTATAATACCAATTCCTGGGGAAGCAAGTTACAGTCACCTCTTGCACAAACTCACAGTGGAAAATAGGTGATCCCTGGAGTCTGGACACTTAGAGCACAGATAACAAGTGGTATCCAGAGATGGCTTCCATTTCTTCACTATATTCATGGTATTGATCCTGTTCAAGGTGATCAGCCATGAAATTACCTTTATGTAGGATTGTGAGGTTTAAGATTTAGTTTCAAACTATCTATGGGGCGCGTGGGAATTCCAGTGAGCTTTTATACTCTATCTTTCTTGCAATCAACTAACCAATAGCATTAACGGGGGATTAATTATCATTATATGAAAATGTGATCAATGATACATTTTATATTTTTTATTCTTGAATGATGATGATATTTCTCCGAATTTTCGACCTACATATTTTTTCTTTATGTATCATCTCGATCGAAAGATTGTCAATAAAACAGGTTAATTGACTTAAACATAACATAAAAATATATTATAATCAAATATGAACATTACGGCCAACGGGCTGGGTTATAAGCTAGTTGAAATTTATTGAAATTTAACTAATCAATATGAACAATTCAACATATGTAGGCATATAACATATACAAACGCATGCTAGCATTTATCCTTAAAGTATAAGTTAAGAACGAAACCCTAGCTCCGAGAAACTCGGAGGGGCGATTTTTTCCTCAGCGTACGAAACCACTACCTTCGTCGTAAACGATGACTAAGACTGCGCCGACAGTGATTCCCCCGTGCGCCGGCAATCAAGAACAAATTCGGGTGTACGTCGGGCATCGCTGACAAGATTGTCCCCGAACGCGAAAGGAGAACGAGAGGCACAGCAACCTAAAAAAAGGGACAAACCCATGAGATACAATTCGTTGTTTAGTGAAGAAGATATGATGGATGAAATACCGTCCCCAAAGACTGGGACATCCCAATCGCCGCAGGGAGATTAGTAGGAGAGAGATCAGCAGGAAATGGCCTGGATGGGGAGCAGAGAACATAAGCTATTCAATGATCTGCATGCTAAAGATGAATGGTATGTTGTGGAATCGGATTCCGAAGATGTGGCAGCAGCCATGCAGGAAGATGAGGGGTTTCTCATATTATTTATTAGTAGGATAATTATACTTATGGTTAGTAGAGATTTAGTCGACTTAGGTTATTTGCTACGTTTTCCAATATTTCACTATAAATATGTACTTTAGGTTTCCATCATAATCAAACAAGAAAAGTATTAAGAAACGTATCTCTCCTAAATTACAATTGTCGAAGGCCGCAACTGCAGAAATGGATTTCGAAGATTGGTTGGCGCTTCCAATCCAGCCGACGTTGACGCCCATCTCGGGAGCAAGCCGAGAGTCACCATCTACGAAAGAAGTTCCAACTCCACCAATGGTGGTCGAAGGAGAAGGTCTGACGACCGAGAGCTCCGCCAAAGAAGATCAAGTCGTCGAAAGTATTGAGAAGAAGAAGGTTATCGAGATCAGCAGTATGTCGTCGTCTCCAAAAGAGGAAACTATACTAGCGACAATGGTTCAACCAAATATCGAAGTCCTCCTGTCCAGTGCCAGTAATTCAATCTCGTTCCATGATTCGTTCCAACTCCGAGAACATGGATTGTTGTGGAGGAAGAAGACGGAAGGTGTAGAGGAGAGGTTAACGCGTGGTCTTGCCATGAATTCCGATTCCGGAAGAAATAAGAGAGGGAATATGGGGATGGAGCTCCTTGTTTTCGCGGCAAACCAAAGGCACATGAGACTTAAACGGAGGACCAGAAGCAGAGAAAACCACCGGGGAACTCGCAATTGATGACGACTTCCGTGGAGGGGTGGATCGCGGAGGATGCGACGTCGAAGACCTCACCAGAGAACGAGGCAAAATGGCTGAGGGATCGATGAAATGAGCAATTGGAGTGACGGGTTCCAGCTGATCCTGTCGCGATGGCTCACAAGAAATCATCGGGGCCCAATCTGCAGGCATGGTCGGACGAGGAAGAGGAGTTGAAGCTGAAGACCGAGAAGTCTGTGTTGCACCGATTGGGACCGGGTACTAGTAGAGACGCGGATTCGAAGATGCGGGTGGAGGCGTGCCGATCTCCTTGTCGTCGGCTGGGCGGTTCGTCGCCGGGAGAGGAGGCGCCAAGGAGAGCGTCGCTGGAGAAGGAAGGCTGCAAGTCCCTTCTCCACACGAACCCTATGTCATGGGAAGTGAATCCACGCCGCACAGCATCTGGGTTCTCGATGGGCCAAGCTGATCTGTAAGAGGGTCTATCATTGGGCCGAGAAAGAGAGACAGGCCTCAGAAGCCCAATTCAACAGTTGGTGCTGGTGAACTAGCAGACTAGGCTGCAATTTGAGTTGAAGTGGGTTGATAATGAGTTTAGAAATGCGCCGAACAGAAAGGGGCCTTACAGTTTTCAAAGAGGAGATGGCTTAGGTTCTCAAGGTGGTATTGGGCCGCCATTGTGCTCTCTTATTGGGTTTAATTTGCAGGAATGCTACTTGAAGAAAGAAGTCCTTAAGTTGGAGCATAAGGAGGAACAGTTCTCCGACTCTTATTTCGTGAATTTCAAAAAAAAAAGAGGAAGAATTGTTCGGCTATGGAGACCATGACATGTGTCACGTGGGTGGAGAAGCGTCAAGGAGAGTTGGAGTTGCGCGAGAAGAGTTCATTCGCGAACTAGAGCGCAATTGGAAATAAAGAAAGCGGAAGGTCGAGGAGGTGGAAGTAAACTACCACCTTGAGGGAAAGGTTGCTTTCAAGAAACCTGGAATGTTAGAAAGCTTCCTTTTGGGGTTTCTCTAATTCGACTAAATCTCTACTAACCATAATTATTATTATCCTACTAATAAATAATAAGAGAAACCCCAAAAGGCGGGTTCCTAACATCTGAAGTTCCTGAAGACGATGATCCTCGCTGCCCCACAATAGCGTACACGGCTATGGAAAATCAATTATGGCGGCGGAAGTTGCATTTTGCCCTAATTGTTACTGTGTTGGGAAGGACTTAACCTTACCCCGTTATTTCCAGCAGGTTGGAGGCTTTATGGGTGAATTGCGGGGTTTTGAAAATATCAATTCTATCCTTAGGTTTCTACGTTGTTCGATTCACTAGTCAGTTTGACTATGAACAGGCAGCCATGGAAGGCCATTGGATGATAAGTGATCACTACATAACCATTAGGCCTTGGCGTCGCAATTTCAATACAAAGTTAGCGAAGGTGGCATCAACAATGATGTGGGCAAGACTTCCAGGGCTCGCAAGTGAATTCATTAACAAGGACCCTGTAAAACGCATTGCGTCGAAGATTGGCCGCCTAGTGCGAGTGGAACGGGCAACATAGTCAGGAGATCGTGGTCGTTTTGCTAGGGTCAGTGTGGAGGTGGACCTCACTACGCCACTCCTATCGCAATATAAGATAGCAGGGATTACGTACTACAATGCAGTCAAAATTTTGATTTTAACTAAAATAAAAAACTGAGGTAAAATTGGAATCGTAGATTAAAATCATAAGATGTTAAAGTTCATATTAAAATAAACTCTTAAAACACTAGATAGTAAAAACAATGCATATCTTGAATAACAGTCAATCACATATAACTTAATTACTTTCCAAGATAAGTTTGTCTACCAAGTAAACACAAATAAATCCATATATTTATTCTTGAACATAACATAAACACACAAATAAGCAACCTAAAACCTCATAAAAGTCACTTAATTTAGTTAATAGTTAAAGTATAAATCACATAAGATCGTTTGGATCAACATTAACATCCCGCACACATCATCATCCTTACCCTCACCCTCACTCTCATCCTCATAGAATCCTTCTCTAATCACTTGAAGTACTTTCACCATTAACCATATTTCCTTGAGCACCATCATCTGAAAAAGGTAACTCATTGATTGATGCATCCCCTTCTTAATCGCCAAAAGCTCAGGGATAGTGTTGCTGAAGGATTGGTAGATGAACGAAAGCTTGCAATGGAATGGAGATTGGGATAATTGTGAGGGTGGTGGGAACAAACTATGAGCTAATTGAGAGGGTGGACGAAATCGTTGATGGAAGGAGTTGGTGGCGTGTAGAAGAGGAAGATAATAGGAAGAGAATGAAAATAATGCAAGGGTCACCTATCGGGTTAGGGTTGTCTTGTTCATTATGTTGGGTCGGGGAAGTAACCTTGACCCAATTCATGGGTAAAACCTGACCTGACCCACCAAATTTTGCTATAATATACATGAACATTGAAATCTTACAAAATCCTAGAATTTTTAGATTTTAAGGATTTTAGAGTTTTAAATCTTGATTCTATTAAATTTTAAGGTTCAAAGATTTGTAGTAAAATCAGGATCGAACCCATAGGTAAGATTGTAAAATCGTAAGATTGTAAAATCGTAAGATTTTAAGATTAAAATCGGGATTTTGACTACATTGATGTACAATATCGAATTTGAAGGATTGCATCGTATCTGCTACGAATGTGGAAAATAAGATCATACGAAAGTGGCATGCCCCAAGCTTGTTAACAATGTGGAACTAGTGGCGCCCTCAGAGACCCCGATTGAGAAAGCAGTCTCGCAGCAACCTCTTTATGGGGAGTAGATGATGGTGAAGCCCCCAGGAAGAAGTACGAGTAGAAAGCCAACAAACACAAGATACCAACATGCTCAGACGGTAGCATATGCTCAGACGAGCTTAGTGGGGAAGACAAATAATGGGAAAAGAAAAGGATCGGCAAAAAATTGCAAATAGCAATGCTAAAACATCTACCACTACCCTTATGCAGCATGTGAGTAACAAGAAGGGGTCCGGACCAAAATCCAACTTATTTGAAGGTGTGAGGAGCCTATCCCCTTTGTGGATTAAATGAGGATCCCTAGCTACAATTGCCGCAAATTGGGGAATAAGAGAGCAGTTAATTCCTTGTGAGCACTTGTTCGACACACTCCCCCCACGTGGTTTTCCTCATGGAGACAAAACAAACAGTGGGTGTAAATGAGGTCTTGAGGGAGTCTTGTGGCTTTAAGAATGGTGATTGTTGGCCAGCTACCATTACGACGAGAAGTAGAGCAGGCGGAGTAAGCATTTGGTGCGGGAGGATTTAGCACTTACACGTATGGATTTCTCCCTCAACTTTATTGGTATTGTTATTGAAGAGGAGTTTGAAGGAAGATGGTGGTTCACCGGATATACAGATGGCCGAATGGTAGTGATAAGTGATTGACGTAGGATCTCATAATAGAGGCTTATCCAACAATGGGATGGACCATGGTTGTGTGGTGGTGACTTTAACCAAGTTCGATGTATTGATGAAAAAAGCGGAGGCAAGTGTGTGCACGAGCCTGAGATGAGCCATTTCGGGAATTGCCTGGCCGAAATAGGTCTCAAGGACCTGGTCTTCCATGGATATCCGTATACATGGGAGAACCGACGACATAGAGGGGGCTTCGTCGAAGAGAGATTAGATTGTTTTGTGGCGAATGAAGGGTGAATAAAGCTTTTCCTAAACACTCACGTTCAGCATAGGGATGGAGGGAATTCATACCACCGTCCAATTATATGTGACACATGAGGCACGGAAGACATTGAATTTAGGTGGGTTCTCTCATTCCGCTTTGAACCGCATTGGTCAAAGTATGACGATTTCTTGAAGATGATAGAAGCAGCATGGCGGAATCCGGGAGGCCATGATGTCCTGGCCAAGTTCGAGGAGTGTCGGTTGTTGCTGGAGCAGTGGAGCGAGAGGGCGTTTTCACCTTTTTCAAAGCAAAAGAACCGCACCACTCGCACTCTGCTCCCTGGAGAGAAGGCATAAAACGAAGCAAGTTCTTAACCAATGTTGCCAGCTGGAGAATGAAATGGTAGAGGTTTTGGAGAACGAGGAGCAGTATTAGAAGCATAGATAACATGCTGACTGGCTAAAAGGGGTGATAAAAACACCAATAATTTTCATCAAAAAGCAACGGCGAGGCGGAAGAGGAATACCATTAAAACAGTTAGGAATAAAGCAAGCAGGTGGTGTGTGTGTCGGGACGAAGTCTCGGAATGCATGGTAGAATATTATGGTGGCTTGTTCACGGCTTGCGTGGCTCTACACGACTGGCCAGTGCTCGAATCTATACCGCGGTGAGTCGATGACGAGGACAATGTATGTCTTCTCCCGTCATTTGTAAGGGAGGAAGTCTTTAGAGACCTCAAGCAAATGGGGAAGCAAAAATCTCCAGGAGCAGATGGTTTCACAGTTTTTTTTCGTAGGTACTGGCATGTAATTGGTAAGGAGGTTTTACTGGTCGTGTTGAAGATACTGGAGACAGGGATGATGCCAAAGAACGTTAACCACACTATCATTGCCTTGACCCCAAAGACGGAGAAACCGATATCTCTAAAGGAATATCGTCTCATCAGTTTGTGCTATGTTTTGTACAAGATTATCTCGAAGGTTTTGGCTAATTAGCTTAAACTGCTTCTAGATAAGATTACTTCCCCGGAGCATAGCACCTTTGTACCAGCCTTTGAGGGCTTGCATACTATGAAGAAGAGAAAGAGGTGTAGGCATGGGCACTTCGCGGCAAAGATCGATATGGCAAAAGCCTATGACCGGGTGGAGTGGAAATTTTTGGAGGGAGTGATGCGGAGATTGGGGTTTGCAAAGGACTGGATCAAGCTCATCATGATGGAAATGACTTATCTATCGTACTATGTGCTAGTGAACGGGCATCGCTCCCGAATGTTTGTTTCTAGCAGGGGGATACGAGTAGGCGTCCCATTGTCACCTTATCTTTTCTGGTTTGTGCGGAAGGATTATCTACTTATGTAACTAAGGCAATGATTGAAGGCCAGTTGCATGGCCTGCAGGTGACAAGGGGAGCCCCGGTGATTACCCGCTTCTTTTTTGCTGGCGACAGTATCATTTTTGCTAGCGCGACCCAACAAGAAAGTCTGGGGTTGAAACACATTTTACAGGCGTATGTGAGGAAATCGGGACAACTTTTGAATTACCAGAAATCAGAAGTACCCTTTGTTGCCAATGTCAAGCCTCATAACAAGCTTATTGCGGGTGGAACCTTGGGGATGTCGATTGTAGAGAAGCAAGATAAGTACCTCGGACTGGTAACAGAGGTCGGGAGATCAAAGAAAGAGCTGTTTGTGGGGCTGAAGGAACGAGTGCGGAAAAAAATAAAGAGATTGTAAGAAAGAACAATGTCAGTGGCGCCTCGTGAGACCCTCATCAAGTCGATTACCCAGGCGCAACTTTG